TAAAGAGGACCTTTCTGTACTGACCACCAATGTAAGAGGGGATATTCTCCACTAACCGCCGATATAAAAAGCGAACTTCTGTACTAACCACTAATGTGAGGTGGCCTTTTTTACTGACCACCAATGTAAGGGGGTCATTTTCCACTGACTACTAATGTTAGGTGGACCTTTCTGTACTGACAAACAATATAAAGAGGATCCTTGTCTACTGACCACCAATGTAAGAGGCGACATTCTCCAATGACCGCCAATATAAAGAACGCCCTTCTGTACTGACCACCAATATGAAGTGGCCCTTTTCTACGACCACCAATGTAAGGAGGGCATCCCCCACTCACTATTTATGTAAAGTGGCCCTTCTCTACTGGCCACCAATGTAAGAGGTGACATTCTCCACTTACCACCAATTTGAGGTGGCCCTTTTCACTGACCACCAATATAAAGAGCGCCCTTCTATACTGAAAACCAATGTAGGGAAGCTCTTCAGTACTGACCATCAATCTCATGTCACCATGTTCCCCTTCTCCTAGTCCGAGACTTCCAGACACCTGCTATCCTAGTCCAGGGCCTCCAGGCACCCCCTTTCCTAGTCTGGGACCTCCAGGGACCCGCTCACCTAGTCCAGAGTCTCCATTGCGCCCCACAATCCGGGGCCTTTGTCCCACCAACCCACTTTTTGTAGTCTAAGGCCTCCTCTGCACCCCTTCACGCTCCAAGTCCAGGGCCTCCTCTGCCACCCCAAAAGTTCAGGGCCTTCTCTGAACCCTCCAGTCTAGAGCCTCTTCTGCACCCCAACTCCTAATCCAGGACCTTTGCCATGCCAAGTCCGCTTTTCAAGTCCAGGGCCTCCTCTGCACCTCTAGTCCAGGGCCTTCTCTGAACCCTCCAGTATACGGCCTCTTCTGCACCCCAACTCCTATTTCAGGGTCTTTGTCACCCCCCTCTTTTTTTCTAGTTCAGGGCCTCCTCTGCACCCCCCCCCCTCCTAATTCAGGACCTTTGCCATGTTAACCCCCCTGTTTCAAGTCCAGGGCTTCCTCTGCACCCCCTAGTTCAGGGTCTCCTCTGCACCCCCCAGTCCAGGGCCTCCTCTGCACCTCTAGTCCAGGGCCTTCTCTGAACCCTCCAGTCTAGGGCCTCTTCTGCACCCCAACTCCTAATCCAGGGTCTTTGCCACTCCCCCTCTTTTTCTAGTTCAGGGCCTCCTCTGCACCCCTCCCCTCCTAATTCAGGACCTTTGCCAAGCCAACCCCCCCGTTTCAAGTCCAGGGCCTCCTCTGCACCCCCCCTCCTAATTCAGGACCTTTGCCATGCCAACCCCCCCTTTTTCAAGTCCAGAGCTTCCTATGCACCCCACCTCCTAATTCAGGGTCTTTGCTACTCCCCCTCTTCTCTAGTTCAGGGCCTCCTCTGCAACCCCCCAGACCAGGACTTCTCTGCAGTCCCCTCCTAGTCCAGGGCCTCCTCTGCACCTCAACTCCTTATCCATGGCCTCCTCTGCACCCCCCCTCATCCAGATCCTTCTCTGCACCCCCCCTGCCTTCCTAGTCCACTGCCTTCTGCACACAAACCCCCTCTCCTCATAAATGCCTTTCAGTTCGAGGCAGGCTCTCCCATGAAAATCCTTACTGGACTGTCTCACTCATAAAAGGCCTGGGCTGTTTGGGCACTGAGCAGGACTAGAAGGAAACTTCACAGCGCTGAATTATCCCGCTCCTCCTACTGCCGGGGGTACCACCCCTGCCCACACTGGGTAACACTGCTCTAAGTGCCACCGCCGCTCGATCAAGTATAAAGGACAAGTGGTGCCCGCTGCCAATACCGGAAAAACAAGTAGGAGGGAGACCGCAGAGCGCACCAGCACTGGATCACCCGCCCCATAGAAGAGCATTCCTGAGGGACACTTCAGCTATTGTTGGAATATCAGCCAATACACTTGACATGGACTTTCAAGACAAGGACATGGACCTTCGAGACATGGTCCTTCGAGACATGAACATGGTCCTTTGAGACATGGACCTTCGAGACATGGACTTGGACATGGACCTTCGAGACATGGACATGGACCTTCCAGACATGGACATGGACCTTCCAGACATGGTTCTTTGAGACATGGACATGGTCCTTTGAGACATGGACATGGATCTTCGAGACATGGACATGGACCTTTGAGACATTGACATAGACCTTCAAGACATGGACCTTCGAGACATGGACTTTCGAGACATGGACATGGACCTTCGAGACATGGACCTTCGAGAAATGGACTTTCGAGACAGAGACATGAACCTTCGAGACATGGACATGGACCTTCGAGACATGGTCCTTCGAGACATGGACATGGACCTTTGAAGCATGGACATAGACCTTTGAGACATGGACTTTCGAGACATGGACCTTCGAGACATGGACTTTCGAGACATAGACGTTCGAGACATGGACTTTCGAGACATGGACATGGACCTTTGAGACATGGACCTTCGAGATTCCCCGTCTTCCAATGGACGACTCTCTATGAACTGAGAACATTCCAATCATCTTCTAAGAATTATGCACAATTGTAAGAAGAAAAAAAAAAAGGGACATCGAACATTGTGTAGAGTTTTGTTGTTTTATTTTACAAAATCAGATTCGTGATGATTACATAATAAATCATAGCTTGAGTTGAACTCTTTCATAATTGAAGTTAAAAAAGATATCACATTTTACCCCCATCCATTCACATTTATTCAAGTGAATGGATGGGGGTAAAAAGTCAGATTCTTGGAGTGGTTGTAAACCCTTCCCGACACCCAGCGAAGCGACTGGCCTCAGATGATACACAGAGATTAAAACAAGGGGCGTACCTACAAGGGTTGCACGGGTCGCGATTGCGACCCGGCCCCATGCTGCAGGGGGCCCGTGCGGCCTTCTTGTACACCTGGATAGGAGAGACGGTGGCATGTAGAGGAAACCAACCTCTCCATGTTTCTCCTGCAGCCGCTGAATGCCTGAATCTCCAGCAGGAGAGGAAGAGAAGCAGGCATTCAGCGGATGCAGGAGGAACATGGAGAGATCAGTTCCCCTATATGCAGCAGCTCCTCCTATTTAGCTTAACTCTGCTCTTCAGCCCCCCAAGCTCTTTCCTGCCCCCTCATCCTCCCCTCTCCCGCCAGGTGCTGCGGGGGATCTGTCAGGATGAAGAGGCCAGTAAATGTGTCATTTATCAGCCCCTTCCTTTTCTGAATGGACAGAGTCAGTGATCTGTACCGATCACTGACTCTGTCCATTCATAAATGAAACATAGTTAACTGTTTACTATGTTTCAGTTTGTGAATGGAGGGGAAGCCTCTGTACAGAGCTATTCCTATCCATTCATTCAGTGCAGCTGAGGCTCCAGAGATGGAGGTGGAGGGCTGTGTCTTCAATCTCCTTCCTCTATCTCAAAGGTGGAACATCAGAGGACTGTTTAGACCCCTGATATCTCACCAAAGCCTCCCAACGGGTCTCCTAAAAAAAAAAAAATGATAAAAAAATAGTTTTTAAAAAATATTTTAATAAAAATTTAAAAACCTGTTAAATAATAAAAAAATCTACTGACACCTGTGGTGGAGCTACCAGGGTCACAAAGGTTTCACTTGCAACCGTGCCCTGGAGTTCCGCCACTAGGCTCGGAAGGAAGGGCCCCAGGCGAGGATCAGGGGGACCCTTCATGGTTTCTTGCAGCTTCTAATCCTCTTACATGTGCTGTACCTGTTTATCTATAGCCATTTGTGCAGCACAGTGGCTAAGTGGTTGGCACTCCCCCTTGGCTGGCAGTACTCGGGTCGTTGGTTCGAATACCAATCACAGCATCACCTGCCTGGAGTTTGCATGTTCTCCCTGTGCCTGCGTGGGTTTCCTCCGGGTATTCCGGTTTCTTCCCACACTTCAAAGACACGCTGAGAGGTTAATTGGCTCTGAGGAACCTAAGGCATGCCCCCCCTCCTCCAAGGAACATAAGGCATGTGGGGTACAGGCATGCCCACCTCCTCTAAAGAACCTAAGGCATGTGGGGTACAGGCATGCCCACCTCCTCTGAAGAACCTAAGGCATGTGGGGTACAGGCATGCCCCCCTCCTCCAAGGAACCTAAGGCATGTAGGGTACAGGCATGCCCCCCTCCTCCGAGGAACCTAAGGCATGTGGGGTACAGGCATGTCCCCCCTCCCCTGAGGAACCTAAGGCATGTGGGGTACAGGCATTCCCCCCCTCCTCCTCGGAACCTAAGGCATGTGGGGTACAGGCATGCCATCCCCTCCTCCGAGGAACCTAAGGCATGTGGGGTACAGGCATGCCCCCCTCCTCCAAGGAACCTAAGGCATGCTGGGTACAGGCATGCCCCCCTCCTCTGAGGAACCTAAGGCATGCTGGGTACAGGCATGCCCCCCTCCTCTGAGGAACCTAAGGAATGTGGAGAGTACAGGCATGCCCCCCTCCTCCGAGGAACCTAAAGCATGCTGTGTACAGGCATGCCCCACTCCTCTGAGGAACCTAAGGCATGTGGGGTACAGGCATGCCCCCCTCCTCTGAGGAACCTAAGGCATGTTGGGTACAGGCATGCCCCCCCTCCTCCAAGGAACCTAAAGCATGCTGGGTACAGGCATGCCCCCCTCCTCTGAGGAACCTAAGGCATGTGGGGTACAGGCATGCCCCCCCCTCCCCTGAGGAACCTAGGGCATGTGGGGTACAGACATTCCCTGGTGTATCATGAGGGGCTCCCACTCTACCTTCTGAATTTATATTTTATATTATGGAGAAAAAAAAAGGAATGAGGACGCCCCTAAGGATGAGAGCCAGGAACTGTAACAGGTTCGTTTCACCACCGGAGCCCTCCCAAGAAATAGAAACATTTCCCGCACACTGATCATTAAATACTGTCCTTCCGACTGTGACTTCTTTGGTGTTCAAGAAGGCTGACATTTTGAGTGAAACATTTCCCGCACTCTAATCATGAAATACCGTCCTTCCGACTGTGACTTCTTTGGTGTTTAAGAAGGCTTCCATTTTGAGTGAAACATTTGCCGCACTCTGAACATGAATAAGGTCGCTCACCCGTGTGAACTCTCTGATGTATAAGAAGCTTTCCTTTCTCAGCAAAACATTTCCCGCACTCTGAACATGGAAAAGGACGCTCCCCCGTGTGACTTCTCTGGTGTATAAGAAGTTTTGCTTTTTCAATAAAACTTTTCCCGCACTCTGAGCACGAGAAAGGGCGCTCTTCCGTGTGAATTTTCAGGTGTCTCACAAGTATGTTTTTCAGAACAAAACATTTCCCGCACTCTGAGCATGAATAAGGACGCTCCCCCGTGTGACTTCTTTGGTGTATAAGAAGGTTTCCTTTCTCAGCAAAACATTTTCCACAGTCTGAACATGAATAGGGACGCTCACCAGTGTGACTCCTTAGGTGTATAAGAAGTTTTCCTTTCTCAACGAAACATTTCCCGCACTCTGAACATGAGAAAGGGCGCTCCCCCGTGTGAATTTTCTGGTGTATAACAAGCAAATTTTTCACCCCGTAACACTTCCCGCACACCGAACATGAATAAGGACGCTCACCCGTGTGAATTCTCTGGTGTATAAGAAGGTTTCCTTTCTCAGCAAAACATTTCCCGCACTTTGAACATGAAAAGGGACGCTCACCTGTATGAATTTTATGGTGTCTAACAAGTGCACTTTTCAGGATGAAACATTTCCCACACATGGAACAGGAATAAGGACGCTCTTCCTTGTGACTACTCAGGTTGAGAAAATCTCCTTTCGGACTGAAACCTTTCCTGGACCCTGAATATGGGACAGGACCATCACCAATGTGAACTCTTTCATGGCCTGAAGTGGATTCCATGGGGCTTGATGTGTCTGTTGTTCGATCTGTACTCTGAAGTCTTACATCAATATCTGAAGGTGGATCAACATAGGATGGATCCATCGATGTCTGTAGATGGAAAGGTCCACGAAATACATGATGGATGCTGGAATTTACTTCTGGAGAAAATGGCGTGACGCTGTCATCTTCTGAATTCTGGGCTGGAGATAAAATACGATATTCCTCCGAGATATTCCTCTTACAAGTATAGTTTCCACCTGTTGGAAGGAGATTTTTAAACAAATATTAAAAGTATTCAAGTCTTGGATTCAAGTCATATGTACATTAATGGTATAGGTCTGTCAGAATGGAGATGAGTCTCCTCCTCATTTGTTGGGAACATGACATTGAGGAATGAAGATGGACCTTTCATATGGTGTCCAGTATCTCCTCCTCATTTGTTGGGAACATGACGTTATATTGAGGAATGGAGATGGACCTTTCATATGGTGTCCAGTATCTCCTCCTCATTTGTTGGGAACATGACGTTATATTGAGGAATGGAGATGGACCTTTCATACGGTGTCCAGTATCTCCTCCTCATTTGTTGGGAACATGACGTTATATTGAGGAATGGAGATGGACCTTTCATACGGTGTCCAGTATCTCCTCCTCATTTGTTGGGAACATGACGTTATATTGAGGAATGGAGATGGACCTTTCATACGGTGTCCAGTATCTCCTCCTCATTTGTTGTGAACATGACGTTATATTGAGGAATGGAGATGGACCTTTCATATGGTGTCCAGTATCTCCTCCTCATTTGTTGGGAACACAACGTTATATTGAGGAATGGAGATGGACCTTTCATATGGTGTCCAGTATGTCCTCCTCATTTGTTGGGAACGTGACGTTATATTGAGGAATGGAGATGGACCTTTCATATGGTGTCCAGTATCTCCTCCTCATTTGTTGGGAACGTGACGTTATATTGAAGAATGGAGATGGACCTTTCATATGGTGTCCAGTATATCCTCCTCATTTGTTGGGAACGTGACGTTATATTGAGGAATGGAGATGGACCTTTCATATGGTGTTCAGTATCTCCTCCTCATTTGTTGGGAACGTGACGTTATATTGAGGAATGGAGATGGACCTTTCATATGGTGTCCAGTATATCCTCCTCATTTGTTGGGAACGTGACGTTATATTGAGGAATGGAGATGGACCTTTCATATGGTGTTCAGTATCTCCTCCTCATTTGTTGGGAACGTGATGTTATATTGAGGAATGGAGATGGACCTTTCATATGGTGTTCAGTATCTCCTCCTCATTTGTTGGGAACGTGACGTTATATTGAGGAATGGAGATGGACCTTTCATATGGTGTCCAGTATCTCCTCCTCATTTGTTGGGAACATGACATTATATTGAGGAATGGAGATGGACCTTTCATATGGTGTCCAGTATCTCCTCCTCATTTGTTGGGGACGTGACGTTATAAGGAGGAATGGAGATGGACCTTTCATATGGTGTCCAGTATTCTCCTCCTCATTTGTTGGGAACATGACGTTATATTGAGGAATGAAGATGGACCTTTCATATTGTCAGGAATCCCAGGGCTTGCGGCGGCGCACGGGTCTGCGCATGCGCAGAACGCCGATGCGCATTAGCTGGCGGGCACTAAGACATAGGCAACAGTGGCGGCCGCGCATGCGCACTCGCGATCGCGGCCGTGCGCCTGGCACCAATGACAGCGCAGGGCGCACTATTTAAACCGGCCCTTTGCATGCTCAAATTGCTGTAAGGTCTTGTTCCTGTTGATTCCTGCTCGTCCTGTTCCTGTGATTGCCTTGTTGCCGACCCAGCCTGACCCTGATACTGTTGACCGTCTCCTGCTCTGACCCTTGGCTCATTTGACTATTCTCTGCCTGATCCTGACTATCTGACCTCCCATTGCTGAACCTGGCCTGTGACCTGATTACTCTTAGCCTGCTGCCCTGTACCGTCTGCCTCTGCTGTTACTGACCTGGCCTGTCTGACTTCGCTCCATCCTGCACGGATCCATCCATCCTGCACGGATCCATCCATCCTGCTCAGATCCATCTGCTACTACTGCCTAGGTCTGCTCCGCCTCTTCACAGCAGGCTCATACCCGCTACGTACCACTGGCGATCATCTCTACCACAGCTGGGGGTGTACTCGGGGGCCGCGACCTGGTCTCAGTCTGCTCCAAGTCCATCCCCACCATCAGGGGCTCTGGTGAACAAGCAGTCTGGGGCTTAGACTCCGCGCCCTGGGGAATCCCGGTCTGTGAGTCTCTAGAGCCCTCGCCAGCTGGTACCTGACAGAACCATACAGCCATGGCTGAGCCTGGAAGAGGACCCTCTCCTTAGGAGGAGATGTGTCAACACCTGGCGGCGCTCACTCAGGCTGTTAAAACACAAGAGGAAGGATATAAGCATTTGGAGGGACGTGTTCAGACCCTAGCCACACCTGCTATCATATAGTCCGGTTATGCAGCCTCCGGCCAGGGGCTCCACAGAATTCCCCGCCGGGGCGATGGTCACTCTCCTTCCACCTAAACCCCGTGTGCCAACGCCAGAGCGTTTCAATGGGGATCGAGGGAAATTCAGGGCTTTCCAGAATTCTTGCCAATTATATTTTGACCTGCAGCCACAGACATTTTCTTCGGAATCCGTGAAGGTGGGGTTCATCATATCCTTATTGCAGGGTGAACCCCAAGGCTGGGCCCACTGTTTACTGGAAGCTTGCCATTCGCACCTGAACTCAGTCTCTGCATTTTTTAAGGCAATGGCACAACTATATGACAACCCGCAATGAACCGCTTCTGCTGAGTTGGCTCTGCATACCCTGCAACAGGGTCACCGGGCAGCAGATGATTATGCGTCCGAATTTAGGCGCTGAAGCGGGGACACCCAGTGGAACGACGCAGCCCCGCGTCATCAATTTTGCTTAGGCTTATCTGATCCACTTAAGGATGAGTTAGCCAGAGTGGGCATACCCGACTCTCTGGAAGATCTGATAGCCTTGGCCATTCAAATCAATCGCAGGCTGCGGGAACGAAGGCTAGAAAGGTCCAGTCAAGGGCCGAGACCGACATGAGTGCAACCTCGGGTTCCGGTCCAGCCTAATTCCCCAGCTAGTAATCGGAATCCTGAGTCATCGGACGGGCCCAAACCTATGCAACTCGGACTGATGCGGCCCTCCCTGACAGTTGAAGAACGCCAGAGACGTCGGTTAAATAACCTTTGCCTCTACTGTGGAGCGGTGGGTCATTTTGTACGCTCCTGCCCAGAGAAGTTGAGTAAGTGTGCCTCTGTCACTTCTGCTATGCCTCCTACTTGCCTAAATAACTCAGCTCACCTAGCCGTGCCTATCTCTTTCCAGCTCCCCAGAAGAACCGTATCAGTGACGGCCATTATTGATTCGGGGGTCTGCAGCTGCTTTATAGATCTTAACTTTGCAGCTCATCAGCAGATTCCCTTACAGACCAAAGAGCACGGCTTGAACATCTTCCTGGCCGACGGGTCTTGAATAAAATCTGGGTTGGTAGACCGAGAGACCCCTCCAATCTGCACTATGGTGGCCGGTCATCATCAGGAACTCCTCCGCTTGGACGCCATCGCGTCCCCATTATTCCCAGTTATTTTCGGGCTTCCCTGGTTACGAGCACATGACCCCCAAATTAACTGGAAGACAGGGTCAATTCAGTTCCGCTCACCTTATTGTCAAGAGCATTGTTTCCTCAGGACCCCATTAGCCACCCAGACCCTTTTCTGTGTGAACACGGACGAAGAGCTGGCTCAAACAATTCCTGCGGCTTACCACCACTACCTTGATGTATTTAGCCCACAGGGAGCAGACATCCTTCCCCTGCACCGGGCTTATGAGTGCCCAATTGACCTTCTTCCGGGGCCTGAGATCCCCTTCGGCTGAATCTTCCCCTTGTCAGAGCGGGAGTTGGGAGCTTTGAATGAGTACGTAGACGAGAGCCTCCAAAAGGGATTCATCCGTCCTTCCACGTCCCTGGCTGGAGCCGGAATCTTTTTTGTAGAAAAGAAAGACAAGTCCCTGAGGCCCTGTGTTGACTATCGGGAACTGAACATAATAACAGTTAAGAACCGTTATCCCCTTCCCCTAGTCCCTGAGTTGTTCCAGAGATTGAAAACAGTGTCTATTTTTACCAAATTGGATCTCAGGGGCGCTTATAATTTGGTCTGCATACGCGAAGGGGATGAGTGGAAGACGGCATTCCGCACCCGGTTCGGTCACTTCGAGTACCTAGTTATGCCATTCGGATTGTGCAACGCACAGGCCACTTTTCAGCACTTCATAAACGACATATTCAAAGATTATCTGGATATCTTCGTTGTAGTTTATCTAGACAATATCTTGATTTTTTTCCCATCCTTGGAGGCACATCGAGGTCATGTCAGGAGCGTGCTGGAGCGACTTCGCCAGCACAAGCTCTATGCCAAGGCAGAGAAGTGCAGCTTTGAACAACACAGCATTCCGTTCCTGGGGCTAATTATTTCCACCAAAGGAATTGCCATGGACCCCCAGAAGATTTTCGCAATCTTGGAATGGCCAGTACCCGCAGATAAGAAAAGTATTCAGCAGTTCATTGGCTTTGCCAACTTCTACCTGAAGTTCATCAAGAATTTCTCAGGCCTGGTATCCCCCATCACCCAACTCACAAAACTGGGGGTATGCTTTCAATGGACGCCAGAAGCGCAGACAGCTTTTGAGGCCCTGAAGAAGGTGTTCACGGCAGCTCCCATCTTGAGTCACCCAGATTCATCTCTACCTTATATATTGGAGATAGATGCATCCGGAAACGCGGTGGGAGCGGTACTGTCACAAAGGAAAGGTGTGAAGGAGCTTATGCACCCAGTGGCCTTCTTTTCTAGAAAGCTCACTTCGGC